TGACCACAGGGAGCCACACACTGACCACAGGGAGCCACACACTGACCAACAGAACAGCACAGTGACCACAGGGAGCCACACACTGACCAACAGAGCAGCACAGGCTGCCCGGGGTTGTGGTGGAGTCCCCGTCCCTGGAGGGGTTTAAAGGACATGTGGCACGAGGGGACATGGGTCAGTGGTGAGCACAGAGGTGATGCTGGGCTGATGATCTTAAAGGTCCTTTCCAACCTTAATGATTCCATGATTCTAAATACTGAACCTGCATTTTTATATCACATATGTTAACATGTATGTTCTATCACACGAGTGATAACACTATAAAAATCCTTATTTCAAGTGTCTTACTAGAGTGCAGGTGGTTTTTAAACCACTACAATTGGCAGAATAAGCAAATGCTTTAAAAACAACCCCTATGCAAACTTATTTCAGATTCAAATGAGGATCATTCAACTCAGCTTAGGGGCAAAACATTTAAATAAAAAAATGCATTTTTTCCACACAGAGATCTTAATCCTGGATTAATTATTTTACACATTTTCCATATTAATTAAAGCAGTATTGCTTCTTCTTAAGTTCTTTATCTACTTTCTTTGAGTAAAACTATTTAATACTGGGGATTGTGGAAAACATTTGTTCATGATTATGCAGCATACAGTCAAACAAGACTGAAACAAGAGCAGCATGCAAAAATGTATTTAAGGACTATCATCCCAAAATGCTGCTAAAAGCTATTAACCAGTACGTGTTAATTGCCACAGCATTCATATTAATTTTCACTTCGGGCCCGACATTGTGGAATATTTCCCCTGATACATTTTAAACAAAGTTTAATTTAAGGAACTGCTTCTATCAACACTTACGAAAATTAACAGCCTAGCAATTAGCACTCATGAATTATCCCTTCCCCCATGCTTGCCACAGCATCATTTTTAAAACAGTTGCTACAAGAGAAATTGTTGTTTTTTAACCCATTACCAAAATTAGCCACCAGAAACCTTGTAGCAATACAGAGAGGCCCCATTCCTCACAACAGGATTTTTAGCATCTGTCCAGTCAAAAATTACATGGACCAATTCTTTTTTAAATTATCTCCAGTAGTCAAGCAAACCTACAGAACTCCATAAGTTCAGAAGAGCCAGACTTTTTTCCAGCTCCATTTGCAACTAGCTGTGAAAGCAGAAATTTTAAACAATTAAAGGTTCTTTTCATACAATATTCCTAGAAAGAGTTTACAGGATTTATTAACCAAGAGGTACAACCCATGTGCTTTACAAAACATGCAAACAGGTCCAGGGCTGAGGTTTACTTTAACTATTTTAAGGAAAAACTTGAAGAAAGAGTGAAGAGTAGTTACTGTGTGCTTTTTTATTTTACTGGGGCTTTTGTTATTTACTCTGTGTATGGCTTTAGTTAAGAGCTGAAGTTTTACAATGTACAGGAATCCACAGATCTGTCCTGGGTAGTGGTGAGGCAAATTGTGTGAATTTTTGAAGTGCTTAGAATGCCTCCATTGCAGTTGCATTTCACAAGAAATATTCTCTACTGTTTTGATAATGGATGAACTGATCAGGACAGGAAGAAATTAGAGTGTTTTAAAATTTTACTATTTCATAAAATCACAGAAGTGGTTATGAAAAAGACACTAAATCTGGCAGAAAACACCTGCAAGATGTGAGCACTGACTCCACTGGCCTGGGTGGTATCACAGCTCACAGGGTGTTCTGGTTTGAACTGGAAAGCTGAAAACAACACCTCAAGTGTTGGGGGGCAGGGAGGAAGGCCCCTGAGGAGGGTTTATTCTACTTCAGGTCAGTCAGGGACCTGAGTTGGTGGTAAGTGAAAGCAGTGGAACCAGTCAGCATGAGAGGCACAGCCACGGACAAAGAGCTCCACACTGAGCTCTGCTCCTGCCTCACCCACACACCAAAAATGAGAGTCACTGAACACCCTAAACCTGCATCACCAAACCCAAATGTGCACAAACCAAGGGCCTGGTTACAGTCATAAAGATTTCAGAGCCACTGTGATCCCCTGGGTAAATACATAATTAAGTAGGGTGTTTTTAAGACATGTTTAATTAGGCCCCCAGCCCCTCCTCACCCCCCCGCCTCTCCCCAATTATGTATCATTTCCCCCAGAGATATGCAGCTCTGTTAATTATGTAAATAAGTCATGCACTATTCCCTGAAAGAGTTGTATTTCTGTGAAAAACTGCTCATCTACTATCAATAAAAATAAATATGAGACCTACAATATTCCATTAAAAATAATTTTTAAAATCTCAATGTTTTTGGTTCTATATTAATGCCTGAAAATACTGCAGAACTGAAGTAAAATAACTCAATTGTACTGTGTTTCTTCTCTATCTCAGATGATCAACCAGGTATTTAAATTAGACAATACATACAGAAGTATAGTGAACAAATTTTGTAAGCAAACTATTGACACAACCAGAGTAATATAAACTATGGTGTGAAAATTACTACAGTGAGATTATACTCCAACAAAATGCCCATTCAAGTATTTTGGAATGTGGAGAAGGCATTTTGATTTGTAGATCACAAATTGAGTGACATTGAGGTATCTCATTAATATCTCAAACTAACATGTAGAATGGACTAAACACCTGCTAAAAGTATCTGAATTCAATACAGGAAAATTAAGGTGTTCATTATAGTCAACTACAATTTCTATTAACGCAGTAAAAATTAGCTTGGACTGTCAAAGAGAGAAGGAAAAATGCCTCAAATTTCCTCAGGTTTCTGAGAAACGAGACTTGGACATGACTGAATTACAATAGAATTCTCTTAATACAGAAGTATTTTATTTTTACTTCCTCTGTGCACAACTGCTGGAAGTACAATTAAATGTTTGCCCAACTGAAATTTTGTGGCACAAGAACAGCAAACCTGGAGTTTAGAAAAACAGTCTCTTGTTGCTGTTAGCATGGGAGTGCTGCTGTCACCCATCAGCGAGGGCAGGAATTGTGAAAACCTTGGTCAGCACTAACTGCTATATGCTAATAAGTACAAAATCACAAGAGAGGAGCTTTTGCTTCATGGACTTCATAGTTCAAAGGTTACCATTTCCCAAATATTCCAGATACTCCCAGATATTCCAGTGGAATTACAGATCTGACTTTCCACTTCGAGAATATTCAACAGAATATAAAAATTCTTCCATCACAATGGTAATGAAGCTCAAACTTCATCCTCCCACAGGAGATTCCACAAACAAATCCAGCAGAAAACAGATCTGTGCAGTATTTATAATTGTTTTGGAACAATACGACACTGATCCATCACACCAACGTTTATATTTCAGTTTCTGGAGCTGATGACAGAGAAAAATATTTGACAATACGGAGTACAGGGAAGATAGTTATCCACCACTGAGTGATATCAGATCCATCTCCTGAACTGGATGTGGCCAAGGAATGAAGTGACCCTCCAGGTTTCCAGCCAATCTCCTCCCCGTGTTACACAAACGAGCTCTTGTGCAGAAATGCATCGATTAGTGCTGCTTTCTGCCCCAGACAGTGACCTATTGATGCTTCAGTTTTCCACCCTCAAAATAGACAGAGGCTTCTCCCACTCTCACTGGAGCACTTTGAGGATGAAGACATAAATCATGGAATATCCAGCAAGTGCTCTGATGTGGATAACCAGAACGGGTTCCTTTAAATGCCAAATAACCAATCATTTATACAAAGGGTCTCACCATCAACTGCAGAGAGATGTGCCATGACTCTGCCACACTAAAGGTGCACCTCACTAACCTGCTGGAGAAGGGAACAGCAAGGTAAGGGAGCCTAATTCTAAGGCCAGAATTTTGTAATGGAAAGGGGAGAAATGGTTCTACCGAGCCTGGAACTGTTACATTTGCATGTTCCCAGATAACCACCTGCAGGGTGGTTATGTATATATACACACCTGGTGGGCTGCTATAGAGCCTAATCAGAGCTTGCCCAGTCAGGGCACAGGAGCACTGCCCCAGGCCTGGCACTGCCAGGGCAGGGGTCCCTGGACCTGAGCCAAACCCAGCCGGGCACTGACCTTGCCGTCGAACTTGGAGTACTCGTTGAAGGGGTTGTTGAGCTGCAGGGGACACTGCTCCAGCCTCACAGAGAGGATGGATTGCTTCCCAGAGCACGGCGACTTCACTCGGAAATTCTTCTTTTCAAACAGGGAGCTCAGCTCCTCGGCTGCAGAGCAGGAGAGAGATTAGAGGCGCCGCATGAGGAGATGTACAGAGGCTGCTCTTACCACAGAGAGATAATATCATAAAAGGGAGCACAAAATCAAATACAGAAAACAACAAATGCTTCAGCAGGGCAGGATCTACCACCATTCTTTCACAGCCCAAAGATATGAAAACATTAAGAAGTTTGAACAATGCTACTGTTTAGGCTGAGGAAAAGATGAATTTTTCCCATACAGAGAATAGACCAGACCAGTATAAGTTCCATTTGAGTCAAGATAAAAATCAAGAGAATGACACATTCCTGGTCTTTCTGCTTGCCTACCTCTTCCTAAATGAACAGGAAATACTCTGGAAAAGAACTGCTGACACATCTGTAACACACCATGTGAAAGCAGTTCAAAGTGGGCCCGTAACATTGACATTGGCCACAGCACAGGACAGGATCCCACTGCCCCACAATGCACTGTAATGTCACCAGGCTTGGCTCTGCACCTCAGCCAAACCAACCACTTCTGCAGATTTTACTTCTCATGGTAGATTGGATATGGCCTCCCCTTAAAAAAATGTCAAACCTGAAACCACCATTCCAGACCAACAGTCTGAACAATAAAAACAAAAAAAGCTTTCTAAAAACAAAGGGGATGTGAGTTCATGAGTTTTTTGTGTGGTCTGTGAAGGCTCACAAAATTCTTGGACAAGCAGCTCTCTTTATGTGAAGAAACTGCACAGCTGAATTTCCAGCAACGACTTAATTCCAAATTTACAGGCATACTTTCAAAAAACCCTAAAAATTAGGGCTTCTTATGTTACATGGCCACTGTAAAATCAGGACAGAGCCTGGGGTGTTCCAGCACATCAGTACCAGCGGGTCTCATCTGCAAGGGACTGGGACTGAACCTGGACAAGGTTTCCCACATCTGCTCCAGGAACCAAGAGCCCCCAACCTCCATCAATCACTGCCTGAGAACCAACACCAGCTCGCCCAGCCCGACCCTCCTGCTCTTGGATTCCCTCACAGCTCACAGATTCCCATCCTGCTGCTCCAGGGAAATCACAGAGCACGCCCAGTTGGGAGGGACCCGCTCCCAAGGTGGAATGACCTGGGAACTGATCTGCAGGGAGTTGCTTTATTTCTTAGAGTGCAAAAATAAAACTTGTCAAATGATAACTAGTCAAAAGCTCAGTTTATTTTTATCAGATTGCCTGAAAATTCAGGCAGTTGGCAGAGGTGCTAAATACTGGCACTGAGAGATCCCCAACAGGCTCGTGAGAGGCTGCCATTAACCCAAAAAGCTTTATTTAATCCCTTTAAATGTGGCCACTTTTACCCCATTAGGTTGGGTCTTTTTGGTAACAAGCACTAATACCTATTTGTTTTGTTGGGTTTTTTTTAATCTCAATTATCATTATGCTGGAGTATTATCTTCAACTGATATTTGTTGGGCATTTGGAAAGGACCTTGGAATCCATTATAATGGTTTTACTGGTTCAAGTGAAAAAGCAAGCTTTTTATCTTCTGTCTCTAAGGAAATTGTAGTCTATGCTATATGGATTTTCCAGCTTTGGTGAGTGTGTTGGCTACAGGAGCTACTCTGTCCAGGCTGAGTGCAAGGCTTTGGAGAGATTCCCTCGATACACTGTTAATTTGCATTTTCTATGCTCTGAAATGAACCCATGTCAGATGTAAATGCAATGCCTTTCATCCGAAAATATGCAGTGTTTTCTAAAAAGGAGTAACCTTTGCATGAGTATCTGCATTTGGGTTACATTTCAAGAGGATGGTGCCAGACTCTTTTTGGTGGTGCCCAGCAACAGGACAAGGAGAAATGGCCAGGAACGAATGACACGAGGGCCAAAGACTCTGCAGGAACCTGAGTGTGAGTCAGGGCAGTGTGCAGGGACAGCACCCAGGACAGAGGGAAAGAGAGAATTGCATCATCACTGGGCAAATGCTATAAAATACTGAGCAAAGAGTTGGAGGTTATGGTAGATTAACCTTTAAAACCTACAACTCTGCTCACAGAAGGAGAAAGGCAAAAACATTTCAGAATGCATTAACAGGGGTATCCAACACAGCTGAACACTGAATTAAGGATTAGTGCAACTGTGCTGCTCATGTGAGCAGCTTTGTTCACTCCTCTGAAAAAGATATTATAGTGCTGGAGAAGGTTCTGCAAATGACAGCCAGGGAGATATGAGGATTTAGGCAAAAAAAGGAGATTACAGAGGGACCTCATTAAGATATACACAAATTTTGAAAGAAGTAGGCATGACAGACCATACAAAGGTTTGAATGTGTGTCAAACACAACAGAAACAGAGACTAGCCTGAGCTCTAAAATAGGAGAATTCAGACAGATTTTTAATTTTATATATTACAGTTTAAACTATGTAGAACATCCAGTCACAAATACTTAATTATATAATTAAAAAAAAAGAATAGAATATTTTTGGAGAAATCACTGATAATAGTTTTACCAAGGAAAGGCCAGACAAACTAAGGCAGCATTTATTATGCTTGCATTTAAGCAGATCATATATACACTCATTATTTCTACAGATTTTCACCCTATCTAAAAAAGTAACTACAAAAATATTCCATAGAAATAAACTCCACAGAATCCTTCATCGCACCCTGTGCACCAAACACCCCTGGGAATGGCTGGAAAGCCACATGGAGGTGCTGGTCCTGCCCTTGGAATGCAGACACCTGCCCCTGGAGCAGAATCCTGTCCCTTCACTCCCCGGGGACACCCAGGGCTCTGCCATCCCAAGGGCTCTGCCATCCCAAGGGCTCTGCCAC